GCCCCCGTTTTCGCCTCGGTGTCGATCTTCGCAAAGGACACATAGATGCGGTTGCCGTCAATGAGCGTCCCGTGGAGATGAACGTACACAAGTTTCGTGTCATCCACTGTGTCACCAACGATCTCCGCGCGGCCACTCGGGCATGTGAGCCAAAGCACCGGCGAAGACATGACCACACGTTGAACCTTCGCGAAGGGCTCAATTAATTCACGCAAGTGGGCCTCTGTGATGCTAGTAGGCAAGTTGGACAGACGGGCCACCACCTCTATGGTCATCGCGAATGTGCAGTTGTCACTACTAGGCGCAGGCCACTAGGCGGATTCTTCCTTTCTTTCCTATTTGTGCTTTAAACGCACAGAAACACGAGGCATCATGACAGAAAAAAAAAACACAAACACAAAGTGTTTTGGAAGATATATACCAAATATATATATATATATATATATATCAATACCTGCAGACTTCCACGCAAACACACACAAAAAAGAAGCTGCTCTAACCAGGGCAAATCCACGCATACACAAAGCAGACGGCCCTTTGTTTTCGCCGTCACAGAGAGCACTCCTGAGTTTTCTCAAGCAACTCCTGGTAAATACCCGAGGCACGTATTTGACCAAGAAGCACAAGAAGACCGCCCACGAAATGACCGTGCGATCGGCAACCTATCAAAGTAAGCATGCAGCATCCATCAAGCGACTGCACAACAACATCGTCGTGGTACTGGAGGGAAATGTACGAAGGCACATCCAAGCGTAGCTGCTCCATGCTCTGAAAGCAACGCGCACCGCTGAGAACGACATTGCTTTCCATCATTTGGTCCTCTGCGGCGTACGCATCACCGTTCGCCACATCGTCTCCAACCTCCGCTAACTGTGGGGTACCGAAGCATGCGACAATGGTGTTACCCTGCCTGTCCGATACCACAACCTGCGTGAGCAGCCGCATATCGATGAGCCGATTGAAGTACTGCTCGATCGCAGTACCCGGACCCTCCATCTTTGCTTACGCTTGTTAGAAACGGCAAACAGCACCCCCCCCACACACACAGGGAGGCAAAGAAAGAGGAAAAAGACCAAAGCGTATCGGTGAAAAAACAAGCCGTTCACATATCGAAATTGATAAGGCAAGAGAGAGAGAGAGAGAGAAAGCAAAAAACCACACGGAAAACAAACGGGGAAGAAATGGATATGTGTATGTGTGAAGAAGAAATCAGAATAAAATCTCCTCATCCAGGGTTTTATTCACGCGTACTTCCTGTGCCCTTTGATCACCATCGTCAGGCCGCCGTTCCTGAGGGGCCACAGACTTCTTCCCACACACAACGCTCGGCCCCTTCTTGAGGTAATAATTCAACAGCGTGTGCTGCGCCGCCTCGTTCATTGCCTCCATAACAGTCTCCCCTTTGCCCTGGCCAATGCAGCGCCGACCCGCGTAGAGGCGGCAGACAGTGTACTCCACCTGCCGGTACTGCTGCGCATTGTATAGAGTAGCGTACGGGTTTGTCTCGTGCACCTCCGTCACGCGTCGCACAACCTGATCCACGTCGATCGGCGCAGAGGAGAGCGACGCCGGTACGTTGGGGTCGTAGCGTAGAATAATTTGTGCCTCCTTTAGTGCATTCTGCGGGCGTATGCAATGCAACAGCATCGGTGGTGCAATCTTGTGATGCCGCGTCACTTGGTAGTCATCGAAGATATCGTCACGCAGGCTCTGCGTGGCATGCGCGCCACCGCTCGATGCAAACTGCTCCCGACGAGCATCCGCACGCGAGTTCAGTGGGTGGATCTCTTCACCCAAAATCTCCAACTCGTCTTGTGTCATTTGTCGCAATTTCTGCAGTTCCTCGCTGATTTGAGCCGACAGCAGCCGCCGCTCCTCCACCTGCTCGCAACTCAGCATACATGAGCTGGCATCAGCATTGGCTTCACGGAGAAGGTCTTCAGCCTTTTGCTGTGCACGGTCCTGCAGCTGTCTCACGTGCAGAAATGACCCCAACTGGCTGCAGAAGAGCTTTTTGATTAACGGCTCCACCCTCACCGCATCACCTGACTGTTCCGCCATCTCAATAAAGGCGATGAACGCGAACAGGGAGCCGCGTATCCACTCCATACGTGGAAGAATGTCTTCTTGGTGCACAGGAAACACCCTCAATCGGCCCGCAGCAGCGCGGAGCACACCCCGCCAATACCATCGTCTTTGCTGCGGCACACCCTTTTCAACCCGCTGTAGATGGGCCGCCGCCTTGCGTCTCGCAATGTTAAACCGCTCAGTCAGAACATTCAACTCACGCCACATACTTATTTCCCCACCCACACCACACACGTCAGCGAACCCCAATCGAAGGGCCACACGGCCACAAGCTAGAAGCCCACAGCATTCATGTAAGAGAGCCTGTAGGTGTTTTGAGCGCAACCTCGGAAACGCCTCCTGTGCCATGCCGGCAACGCAGCTCTCCACAATTGCCTTGCCTCTCAGGGCGAGAGCACCGTGTACGGGAGAGTCAAGTGGTGTGCGGTCCAGCATGCGCCACATGGAGTCAATATCAAGCAGCGCAATTCCCCCACGGCGGTCATCATCACCTTCATCCCGCCCTGGCATCAACGCGTCCCGTGCAGGAGAAAGGCCCAACGCATACAACGGGGACTCGTGCTCGGTGTCCTTCCGCTCACTAGCGCCTAGCGCGGACTCATTGCCTCTTGACTGGAGTAGCTCTTCCAAACGTTGAAGGTATTTTGGGGTAAACGACACGGACTCCTTAAACAATCCGTCCTTTTCACACACCTCAAGCATCAGACGAAACGCATCGCCAACGCTTCTGTCGGCGGGTACGGTGGACAACGTGAGAGCCCCGCGGCGCTGCGCCCCCTTCCGCAGTCGCTGCTGCTCCTTGTGCTTCTCATAAAGTGGGTTGGTGGAGCGGGCAGCGCTGTGCACATCGCTGGGATTCACCGGCATCACCAACCGGCGCGGGCGAAAGCGAGGACGATACGCTGCGCCAGCGCCACCCGCTTTCGCATTGGCTCTAATCAGCACGGCACACCTCCGCATTCCCACTGCAGAACAATACAAGAAAAAAAAAAAACACAAAAAGACAGAGAAGAAAAAACAAGACAAAGCATGCAAATAATGCAAAATAAAACATGGAAAGGCGCATTGGATGCAGAGGCACCCACCACCACCACCACCATCATCATCACCACCGGTAGGTGGTAGGGGCAGTAGTAATAGTAGTAGCAGCAACCACAACAAAAGCACCTCACTTGTGAAGTGTGGCTCAACACGTGAAAACACCCGCACGGGACCTTGGTATCCGCCACCTCACTCGTCTCTCCGCCGTCCTTCCGGCAGCATCGTGCACGGCGATTAACAGCAATGGGATCGAGGCGGCTCGTGTTCGCGATTGTGCGTATGTCTGTTGATGTGTGAGTGCATGTATGTGTGGGGAAGACGCAGAAGAGATAGAATCTAAGTTGTCAGGGGTGTGTGAGGTGCAAGCGTAGGGGCCACCGGCAGCATCCACGCAAAGCAAGAGGAAGAGAAAGAGCGAGAGAGACGCTACGAAGCAGTCAAAAAACCGTCGGTGTCCCCTTTAACAAACAGGAAGCCCATAACGAAACGGAAACAAACGAGAAGTGAAGGAAACCGTTCATTGGGTCATGCTGTATCACCTCTTGCCATCTACGCTGAAGCCCTTTGCCGTGCCTTCTCTTGAGCCATGCGACACTGTTTCTCCGCCGCAAGCTTGGCTTTTTCCGTCTTTTGCAACTCACGCCTAGCCGCCGCGCAGGCAGCACGCCATTCCGCCGCTTCCTTGTCAAATCTCAGGCGGAGTTCATTCGCCTCCTTCTTGCTGATTTCCAACTGTGCGATTCTCGCCTCCCCCTCTTCCCGCTGCTGCGCAGCCACCTTTTCTGCCTCCACCATTGTGTGGTTATCAGAGAAGCCGCTCAGCTGCGTGCTGTACATTTCGAGCTGCCGCTGCAGCAACTTCTTGCCCTCCTCCGCCACCTGCCGCTCACGTCGCACGAGGGCGAGCCGTGCATCCAGCAGCTCCATCTCTTTTGTCACCTGCTGATAGCTGCGCATCAGCTCCCCCACATAGCTCTCGCGCTCCTTCCAGCTCTCCTGGTAAGAGGTGTAGGCCTCATCAAACTCCTTCTTCTGCTGAGCCACCTCCTCACGCAGGCGGCTATTCTCTTCCATTATCTGTTGCACCTGCTGCTTGCGTTCATCGTACTTGGCGCGTATATCGCTCACATTCATCTCAACCTTCGACTGAACGCTAAGGCGGTGCTCCTCCATCTTTTTTTTGGCCTCTTCGGTAAGCTCAGCTCGCCGCTTCATTGCGCTCTGCAGGACTTTGCACATACGCTCCGCCTCTGCCTTTGTTTCAACTGCCTGTCGTATGTCCATTTGCAACTCGTCCACCTCCTTCGTGGTGACTGTCACCTTTTTCTTGACAGAAGCGAGCTCAGACTCTTTTTTCTTAACTTTTTGAATCTCAGATTGGAGCATGTTTTGCACGTGAGCCTCCCCCTTTTCGGCGAGGAGCGCCTTCACCATTTCGCGGGCCTCCGACTCGAACTTCTGGTTGTCATGAATGTGGCGCAACGCTTCCACAGCACCCTTACCACCCTGGCCATTGCCCTGCGGTGTGCTGACAGTCTGCTTGGCTACTGCTGCCACCGCCGCTGCTGCTGGGGGCTCCTCCGCCGGCGCTGCGTCCTCCTGCCTGCTGGGGTGATCCATTCCCTTTTTGTTTTCTTCTGTTTTACTCTTCTATTTGTGGGTGTCAGAGGCACAGACCGCGCGCCCTCCTTGTTTTCTCACAGCTGGCGAACGGCAAAAAAAAAAGGTGGGGGGGACGAGAAGAGAGCAGCGACGTTTAAAAAAAAGGTTGCAAAAGAATTCGAGACACGCAACAGGTAAAACCGTAACAGCACATCACGCACAAACATCGTGCGAGGCGTCAGTGTTGATAATGGGAGGTTTTTTCTTTTTCGGTGTGACTCGGCTCTCACGCCTCGCAGTCTTCGCCTCCCCCCCCCCCNAGGTTTTTTCTTTTTCGGTGTGACTCGGCTCTCACGCCTCGCAGTCTTCGCCTCCCCCCCCCCAGCGTCGTACGTACGAGTGCAGGGGTGTACGAGCTCACGGCAAAATAGCCGACGCGGCGCCTTTGCTCGCCGCCACGGTGCGCTTGTAATACAGCACCACCACCCAGCTAATGAGGGACTTCAGCACGAACATCACACCCATGTACACCATGACACCCACAAGGAACTCCCACGAGCGGAAGTGAGTCACACAGAACCACGCATCCAAGTATGTCAGGAAGCGACGAATGTAGCCAGCCTTTCCACGCCGCATAGCCTCTGCCACCAGCTTATAGCTTTCCCACTGCAGCTGAATGGGCGGCTTGCGCGAGCGCATCTCGTAGTAGCAGTTGTAAACAACACGCCAGTCAAACGGCCTCATGTTCAGGTATACCCGCATCAGCGAGTTGTACGTTGTGGCTCTGAGGTGCTTACCGCGGCGTTCCCTGGATATGCGGTCGAACACCTCTATAGCTTTTTCCCACTTAGGCGGGTTCTCCATCGCAAGCGCCGTGATGTATTGCTCATAGTTCTGCATATTGGGCGATTGTCCCCGTTTTACCATCTCGTCGAAGAGTCTTTCACATGACTCCGGNATCTCGCGCTCAAGGCACATTTGCATCAAAGTCGCGTACGTGTTCGCGGTTGGAGTCACACGGCTCTGGATCATACGCTGGTAGAGGTCCATGCTGGCTCGCAGCTGCCCGCCATCCATCAGCTTCGTGAGCAGCACCTCGTTTGTTCTGTTGTCCACCCGAAGCCCACCGGCCCGCGCCCCACGCACAGCAGCGAGCGCAAGGGCGTGGTCCTTTGGTTCCAGCCGCTGCACATACTGGCGCAGCTGCGCATTGCTCGCGGTTCGAGCAAGGACAGAAGAGCGAAACACTTCCTCCACCTGCTCAGGTGTAGTGGCTGCGACGTGCGGCTTGCCAAGAGTGGCACCATCCACGTCCGCACCGTGTCGCCACAAGGCGGAAGACGCCGCCGTCTTCGATGTTGTTGCTGGTGCCGCTGCTGCTATCGGTGGCGTAACTTCCACGGATGGCTCCGGCTTCGATGCACGCGGAACCTCCACTGTGCCGCCCCCAACCACAGTCGTGCAGCAACGTCCAACGTGGAACAGCTGCGACATGCGGCTGCGACGGCGCATGCCGCACAGCGATCGTGCCGTCCCTCCCGCCAGCATCACACACACACACACGCACTGTAGATGTGAGAATACGCAACACGATACCACACCGCCAGCAGCCCCCCTCCCCCCTTAGCAAGGGGCACGCACCAGCGTAGCTACGAAACAAGCAAAAAAAAAGCCAAGAGAGTGAATATTGCGGTTAGTAGCCAATAAAGCCACCAAACCCCAGCGAGCAGTAACACACATACACACGGCAAAACAAAAAACTTCTCCAACACACGTTTCCCTCCTCTGTAAGCTTAGAATGAATAATAATAGATGAAATTGAGATGTGACTCTGCAGTTGTGTAAACGGAAACAGGGTTCATTTCAATTCTGCAGGACACCAAGGAGGGAGTCTTCATTGTAGAGGAAGAACTCCTCGCCCTCCACCTTCACACTGCTCCCACCAAACTCGGGCAGCAGCACCGTGTC